CCCCAGATTTTCTCCGCTAAATATGCGCCAGTGAACACTCAATGGTTATGCAATAAAATCAGCTGTTGCCCAAAAAGAATTTAAATAGTGTGTTGACAAAGTGACGGACATACCAGACTGCATGCAAGTGTATTCTGGTTTCCATGGACACAGACGGGCAGCCCATACCATGGGCCAGTGCGTAGAGAGACGGAAAGATGGACAGACAGACAGGGCAGGTGGGAAAGAGAGAGAGCAGCACAATCAGCTGTGCACCAGGATCGTGAGGGAGAGATTCGCACTAGCTTCCCCGTTCCTTTGGACGCACCCCTGCCTCTCCCACCCTTTGGTATCCTACCCCATCAAAGCAACAAAGCACTCAGTGCTTGAAAGGCCTCAGATTAAGGGGAGCCATAACAGAACAGAGGGGGGCGCCACAGTACCAAGAGTGTCTCTTGAACTCCCACCCGTCAACTCAGTCCTCCTTCCCAGCAGCCACAGGTCTCAGCCCTGCCTCGCTGCTCCAGTGCCGGTGGCAGGCCATCTCCAGCAGCTCGAGCCCTCCTAGCGCCCTCTGCTGACCAATAAAGAACAGTGCCACAAGCAGCAGGTAGATGCGCAGCGGCGGCCAGAGCCAGAGACCCACGCAACACAGCCCGACGAAGGCATTCCAGTAGAGCAGAGAGGCGGCTTTGATCAGCAGCACTCGTGCAGCGGTCTTGCAGGGCGGCACGCGGCTGACACCCGGCGCGGCGTCGAAGCGCCTCGCGCCCATGTAAAAGTCGCGAAGCCGCTGCTCCTTCTCTGCCCAGCGCGCCTGGCACCAGGCCTGCAACTGCTCGGCAGAGTCGGGGAGCTCGGATGCCGGATACCGCTGCACATGGAAGTGGATCTCCTGGGGGAACTGGCCCAGTATAAGGTGGCGCTCCGTCTGTGGAATGTTCTCAGGGTAGGCCACAGTGATGTCGTGAACGGCATCCAGATTGTCTCCTGTTCGGATTGGAGGACAATTAAGGAGAGACATTTGTAGGTGGTAAAAACAGGCGTGCGCACAGTGCAGCTCAGGGCCTAGCGCATAACAATACACCGGTCTTGGCAGCTAGGCGGTTTGTTTGTCCCTTTATCAAATGGGCCTCTGCTGAGATAATCTCCAACATGCTGTTCATGCTGACAGACATACACAGATATGACATCTGGGGCATGCAGTGTGTAGAGCCCCCGGTGGAGAGGAGGGGTATGGCAGCTCACCCTAATCACTGGTAAACAGGGGAATAATTAAGGGTTTCATAATGTTTTTCTTAGGCATACTGCTGACTCCCCACCCATATGCGAGTTAATGGGATTTAGCTATGAAGCAGTTTGATGATGTGACCTCTGACCTTTGCGCAGCGTGTCCACAATGAAGGTGAATCCAGTGGTGCGGGGGTGCAGCACGTATTCGTATCTAGGCAGTCCATTCTTCTCGGCGAAGTCGTCGCTTCGTGCCCTGGTGTTCTCTGAGGGGAGGAGGGGCACATGGACTTTCATTGCCCAAAAACGGACTGGGTGTTTGCAGAATCCCATTGAAAGTGCATCTCTGTTTCACACGTGTTTGAAACAAACTCATTTAGTTAGGTAGGTTCAGCTGAAATACGATCCTCGTGGTGCCCAGCCATTATCGGAACGACCACGCCTGTAACATTAGACGCCGGACCTCCTCCCACTCCTTTGCCCGGTGTGGATCCTCGGCACGCGAAGCCACACGCGTGATTATGGGTGACGGCGCCTTGCACCTCCGCCGGCATTTACACCTGACGTCATTTCTTCCAGAGCCCACGATATGTTAAAGGCGGCTTAACGGAGCCTGCTGAGCGCCATAATGTTTCTCGGCGTCACGTGAGCTCTTTGCCTCCGGCAGGGTCAAGACATGACGACACGGGCCAGGCCTCACGTCTCGCCGAAAACAGAAGAGGATCAGCCCTGGGAGGATTAGCGACGTCACACTGCCAGAGTCGGGCCCAGCAAATCCCATAAGAGGATTGCACGCAACAGGAGGCTCTCAATACCATCCCACTCCTTCCAGGGCATCCTAGGATGCAGCGGGAATTTGAGTGTTCTTGGATATTCATACATCTGTCCAAGTTAATCCACCCCACTGTGTACAGATGCTCAGCAAGCCTGCCATTTTGTAAAGAACCAGAATGTGACAGGTTCACGTTTTGTTTTGGGTTTTTTTTTTTAAATGAAAGTGAGGGAAGTGAAAGGACGATGGTTCACCCAGAGGATGCAATACAGCTCATCACACCGTTTTCCTCCGGTAACTGCATCATCCGCAAAACTGGCAACTTCCCTTTCTGCGGCATGCTCACCAGTAAGGTCGGTGCCCTCTGGGAAGATGAGCAGCTGCAGGGGCTCGCGGATAGCACAGAAGTAGTCCAGCATGTCGCCCAAGTGTCTGCGATCCTGCTCCCAGCGACGCTGGATGAAAACAAAGCAGGCCACCTGCATGGCCCAGCCTGCGGGACACAGACAGGGCATCAGCCTCGGATGAGAAGCCAGGTCCGGGCAAGAACCCGCACCTCCAATGGGCTCCATAAACATCATCTTCGGCATCAGGCTGCTCAAATGCAATTTTACATACAATTCAAATAAACCTCCCTGCACTCTAAGGTGAGACAGCCAGGCCCCTTCAGTCTCTGAATGCTCTAGAACAGGGGTGGCCAATCTTATCCGCAAAGGGCCGGTGTGTATGTAGGGTTTTTGCTGCAACTCCCTAATTAGATTACTAATTAGAGGACTGATTGGCTGAAGAGTCCTCACACCTGGGTTTGAACAGCTGACCTAAAGGTTATCCCAAAAACCTGGCCAATCTTACCCCTTTGCGGGTAAGATTGGCCACCGCTGCTCTAGAACACTGTTTCACAACCAAGTCGGGGTCCCCAGAGAACCCACACTTCTGCATCCTCCCAGCTCCCAACACATCTGTACCAGGTATTTGGTGTCTTTGATTGGCTGGAAGCTGGGAGGGAACGTGGACTTTCCGGGTGTCCCAGCGGACTGGGATGAGAAACACTGGTGAGTTAAGGGAAACAAAGTCACATGGGGTCACTCACCAAACCCCGGCACCGCCTTCAGCGCCGCCTTCAGGCAGATCTTCTCCAGCCGCAGGTAGCTGTAGCGGAGCAAGCAGCACCATAGGAACATCCAGTCCAGGCGTGTCCTGTGATTCATGACGATGACGCTACGCTCGCCGGGGATGAAGCCATCGCCGGTGATCACCACCTTCACGCCGAACACCAACTCCAGCAGTGCCTAAGGAGGGTGCAGAACAGGCCACGTCAATGTCACGGTCATGGACAGCGTTTCCGCTGTAGACGCCCATAGACGGTGGATGAGGCGCGGGGTCTAAGTAGTTATTAGATCACAAGCACAACAGCCCACTTGGAATTTGGGCCCAAAAACTGAGCTGTTAATTTTACCCTTCCCAGGCAGCACCATGAGGCAGAACATTCACTCGGATCACCTTTGAGGGAGTCGGGAGTAAGGGACAGACAGAAATATGAACAAGGCCAACATTCGGGTACATGGAGACAGAGGGAAGGGGCAAGACAAAGGAGGGGCCACCGCACCACGGGCAGCGTCAGCCAGGTGGCGACGATGCGATCCGTGAGCCAGCGGTACCAGGCCGGAGACAGTAGCATGAGTGGTAACACCGGGCCCAGCATGAACACGCTGCCGAAGAAACTGGTCAAGAAGAGCGTCGTCACGAAGTAGAGGCCCCGCGCCGACACCGCCATCGCCGTCTCTGAGGGACATGGAGGGAGGGAGGGTGTGAAGGAACGAGGAGAGGGGACACAGAGAGAGAGGGGACAAAAAGGAAGACAGAGACAGCGTTTTTAGACATGAGAAAGCAGCCGTGCCGCTCGCACATCCTGCGCAGTGGCTTCAAGGACGCTAAAAGCACAGCTGGATCGAGGCCCCGCTGCACTGACGCGAGATGAACAGACGCAAGGATGGCGAGGAACACCCGAGCACAGGAAGTCGGCAAACAACAACGGCGGTCACCCTACTCAGCGTCACCCCGACTGCGGCATTCACTTACCCCAGCACGAGACAAACAGAAACCACAAAATGCAGCACACGCCTGTGATGGGAAACAACTGGGGGGGGAGTACACAGACACAGACACAAACACAACACAACTCAAGCCATTTTCCCCTAACGAGAGCATAATGACAATCATCATTTCAATAGTTCTACGTCCTACCTGGATTTAATCGGACCCCACAACCGCCTAGTTACTCCTGGCTGACTTGGACAGAGCAGCGCAGGTAAACGGGACGCCAGCTACATAACCTGACACCTAGAACATCACTGAAACGCTACCAGAGCTCGCGAGGTCCATCACCTGAGCGGCACTCCAGCTTGGGGAGGAGGGGTTGTGAGGGGTGACTAAGCTCTGCGGATTCCTTCCAATCAGATTCTGTCCTCAGTGTTTGTCTAAGGTGACAGTTGCACTGTGGCTCACTCTCCGCTCCACAGGCCTAGCCACTCCCCCCACTTCGGCCCTTCCTGTGGACACGGCTGCCCATCTGCTGGGGCCCACACGATACTCTCACCTACTCCCTGCTGGTTACTCACTTCTTCCTCTCATCCAGAGAGCCCTTGAGGGGGGACGCCCCAAAAATGTTTTCCAACTTGCCTGCACCAACGCACACCCATCCTGCCCACCTGTGGGATCTGAGAGCTGTGGCAGACGTGTGCACACACTCGCTGACTCGCTAGCATGCACACACACACACACACACACACACACACACACGTTTTCCATTTCAGCGCCGAAACCATGCTGCAAACCACAGGAATCAATCAAAAGCTAACCAAGGAAACTCAGTGTTCAACCCCGCAGGACTGCATTTTTTCCGCCAACCTTGACATGTACACACTGCACAGCACTGCTGCCCAGCACAAAGTGGTGAACATGCTGCAAGTAACACGAAATGTGTCTTCCTTTCACTGTTTATTCAGCCTGAAATGGAGATGGCAGGCCGGCCAGCGCCACGTTCTAGAAGCTGCCCATCAGAGGCGTACTTAGAAGCAGATAACAGGGCCAATTACACAGCAACTCCGTAAGACTCCCTGTCAAAATGGCTCGGGGCGCTGACTGAAATCCAACCACACCTCAAGCCCACAACACAGAGAAATTCCACAAAATTACACACAGATTCAGAGCCAAGAAGTCATTCCGGTAAGTCGGACATGATAAAGCTGACAAATTAGGTAAAAAATAAACCAGCGCCTGCAGAAGTGAAAACAGACACGTCAACCATTAACAAGACACTTGTGCAGCATATTTCACCAACCAGTCACTGGAAGTCATGTGGGTGTCATGTTTCTGTGAGTTACGGTGAGATTCCATTCATTTTCCATACATGGGGAAAGAAGAACACCTATATGATTACAGGTAATGATGAAAAGGTCACAGGAGCTGAAGTCAGAAGAGGCATCAGCCTGTTTTTCTGAAATAAGCATGTTGTGTAATTGTTTTATGGAACAAATCTAATTTGGGACCTTCCCGAGGTGGGTGAGGCAAACAGCCACAGCTGCGCCAACCGTGCTCATCCACCCCTCCTCCACCATAAACCCTAAATGACCCAGGCGAGCTCATCTCCATCTCCTGCTTGAAAGCCTCGCCCCAGCCATAGATCTCCCAACCCGTGTCGTCGTCAGCATGACACAGCAGCTTCGTGCACCGCTGTAAAGTAGTTAATTCAGCACTTACGCCCCGGGTGGGAGTTTTTTTTAACGATGGAAAATATGAGGCGTGAGAGAGGTGAAGGACTCACTAACTCAGCACATTCATCTGAAGCCCCCCCAACCCCCACCCCGACCGACCCATCACACCTTCCCCCAACACACATATCTTCCCCAGGGACGGAACTCTCCCATCATGGGAAGGGCAAATGTGGACTGCCCACAATTCCCTGTGGATGAAAGCTGTCATGCGAACAAATTCGCACGATAACATCACCACCTGACACAAAACCAAGCAACTCCTTTGTCTTTTTCCACCCAGATACAGGTGTCAAATTTAACTTTTTGTGCCTTAATGCCATATACAATGTGAGAGTATAACGGAAGTTAATTACTATGATTAAGAGTACAATGCTAGGGCAAGACACCTTGTAAACCTTGCATCAGCACTCATGTGCTCACAGGTTTGTATCTGTCCACCACACCACCTGCTGCTACCACCCCCACCTCTTAATAAGCCCACAAACCTCACATATGCTTTTCTAATCAAGGTCACTCCGCACAAACGAGACTTTGTTGCATTCCTGTCTGTCTGGCCGTCTATTGGCTTCAGTCCTTCAAACCCTCTCAACCACCCACTTGAAGTTCAGTTTAGGAATCAGACACAATACCACCAAACACCCTAAGGAAACCACGCATCAGCCATCTGAAAATAAGCACAGGTCCCTGTTTTCTGTCTGTGCTCTTCCCATTGCAGACGTGACCGAAAAGCTGCAAGACAAGTGGAAAATAAAAAGGACTTCAACCTTGGGCTGTATCTCCCTGGCTAATCGCTGGCTTTAACAATCAAACCTGTTCACAGGAGACGGGGTGGGGAGAGACACCAACATCAACATTTTAATGACTTTTTCCATCGACTCTCCACAAAAGGTCAAACAAGAGTCTACGATGCACTTCACTGGCATGACTTTGCAAATAAATAAATAAATAAATAAACATCACTAGTACACTGGGTGCCTTTCATACAACTTTACACCATCCCAAATAGGACACTTTCTGCACAACGCACAAAAGTGACTGATTCCCAATACACCCATTAAAATACTGTATATATTCCTCTAATTATTTGTCCTCCCAGTGCTTAAAATGAGCATCACAGCACATGCCCTGGGCCACCATGTTTGTGTGTCCTGGCTGACTCTGCGACTATCGCTGTCAAAGGCTGAGGCGCACATTCCAGAGAGGGGTCTTGTCAACAAGCACTTGGGGGGGAGGGCTTGTGTCTGGACATATCTGTAACACTCAGCACTGAGATCTTATGCTAAACAGGGCATGTTGCCAGGAAACTTTCTCTAACTGGGGAGAGGGGTGTTGAAAAAATCAGTTTGCTCCATTGATTGGTCGGAAAAATTTTTTAACCAGCCATCACCTCTGTTTGCACAGGTCCACTGGGCGAGATTTACATTCAAATAAACAGCTGACTTCTCCGCCATCATCAACAGGCAAAGCATGCTGATGACCAACATGTAGATGTGCGCCTCCGCAGGGCCGCCACACCGATGCATCACAACTTCTGCTTCTCCAGCAACTACTTTTATTACTATGCATATCTGGTCCCCCTTAGACTTAATTAACAACATTATAAAGGTCTGCATTTAACTTGTATCATAAAATCCAAAATCCATTTTTAATCAAACAGGAATAGCATGACCTACATCTGCAAAACAAGTTTGCTCTCATATTACCACACTAGACAGCAAACCCAGATGCTGGATATTTTATACGGTTGAAATGGCCAATGACTGCCAATTAAGAGAGACCACCTCGGCACGCTCATCTCTGGTACTGTAAATGTGATAAGGCTGGAGGCTGCTTTAGTGAAACAAAGGTGTCTGCTTTGAAGAAGCAATGACACTATGGGTCAGATGTGGCAACATTCCAGTCATGAATCAGGTGCTAATTAACATACACCTGTAGGTATGTGACTTAAAGGCTGGAGATGAGTGGAAGTGAACCTAACCCTAAATCCAATGTGGGTGGGATCACCACATGCTGTCTGTCGCACCCTGGTCTTACCACTCTTCTATTATGTTAAACTGGGAGGCACTCACAAGTCCAGTTAAACAAGCCACTATGTTTCGCTTTGTTCAAGGAGAACGAGAGGAAGGGTTATTAGGTAGAAAGCACTGCTTAAGTTTAGACTTGCGTCTGATCCTGGAAGGGTACTGCGTGATGTTAATGGTATAGTGATACAGAAGTGAAAGAATGTACGCAGGCGGTGAGATGTAACGAACCATCTCCTCTGCAGCACCTAAATATGACCCGGTCAAGCATCTAGTACAACCTGTAACACGTGAGCCTTTGTATGGCCCCAAGCACAACGACGGTAATTAGTTTAGTAAACAATGAAGAGAAGCAATATACCCAACCCCATAGTTATCGAGTTGGGTTCCTGGGAGTGAAACCCACCGTGTATCACCATCTGGGCGCATTTTTGGTAGAACACTCATACGATGGTGGTAGTTATGATTGTTAGTGACATACACTCAAGCTGATGTTCCAGTCACGTTTCTGCCTACATGCGGCACAAAGTTTTCCTTTTAACACGACGGCCGGTTTCACGCACACACCAGCTTCCCAGGAAGCATTTTGCATGCGGCTTCTATCTGCATCCGACATGCAAAGGCGCCTCGAGCTGGCACGAGACAACGTCGCGCGTCGCTTAGCCACCTAGCAGCTAGACACACCGCTTAATTCCCTGGGAAATACGACATTCTCCATGTGACATAAGTAAATTACACTGTCTCGATAAGAATTTCCTCGGAAACATGTTCACCAAGCGCTGTTACCAGTTATACACCATAACAGAGAGGCCGCTAGCAGGGCTACAACACACATACCGAGAAGGCTAACGGGTGTTGGTGTAGCTTAGCTACTCAGTAACTAGCTATCCAACTACCAGTGGTACCAGAGGTGTTCCAGTAGTTTTGCGATCAACCAACAGGGCGAACATCCCCGCGAATAACATGTGGTCGGCCGGTATCACTCACCTGAGTGGCCGCGGCTAACCTTAGCGCGCTGGCTAAGCTTACAGGCGGGCTGCGACACGAGTCACAGCGCTAATGCAGACTGCTGGGGCACGGCGAGCTACATAGTTAACAGAAATTCCAACAGCATTCATGGCAGAAATAAAAACTTAGAAAGTCATATAAAAAATAGTCTTGCTTTAAGTAAGCTACAGCATGCCGGACCGGGATAAGCGGTAACAGTCCGTCACCACGGCGTCCCCGCGACCTCTCAACTCTACACTTTCACCCCGCTGGGCGCCGCCGAAAAGACAGCAGCCAGGGGGCGCTGTTCTGCGTGACCCCACCGCTAAAAAGAAGCCAATGAATTTGAGGTTCTCTGTTAGGGATGCCTGAAGGATTTCATCTAATAATCCTGTCCCGGTTTATGTGTGGATGGAGCATTTTAATGTATCCGCAATACGTGTGAAATGTACTATACTGTATGTATACCTGGGTTTGCGTGTCAGCTTTAAGTTACCCTGGCTTTTTCCGACATGACACTTGCTAAAGTGTAATGTATTCATAATATAGAGAAAAAAATATGATAATTTCAGACACCACAAAACATCCATAAATCCAGTTCTGATAACAAACAACACTGACTTCTTGTCTCCGCACATTTTTATGTTGATAGAAAAAAATATATATCTTGGGAACCACGTAATAGTTCCAGTTTGACGCTTCACGCTTTCAGATGACTTTTATACAGTTTCAGTGTTTTTTCCATAGAGTAGTTCGGGTGAAGGAAGGTTTGTAAAGGTGTATCTGTTCCATCTGACTGCATACACAAGCTTACCACTATGAGGTCCAGAGTCCTGTCCTCTATAAATAATGATATAGGTCGAAAACATCATCACCATCAAGCATGTGTGTGTGTGTGTGTGGCTGCACTAATGTGCAGAAGTTGCTGCTCATCGTGGCGTTAGTGATTTTGACGGAGGCCGCTGCTGTGCCCTGAGTGGCGGTCTCAAAGGGTCCTTGTGAATGTCCTGGACTCTGAGTGAATGTGTCAGGGCCGCTTAGTGTGAGTGGCCGCTTTAGATGGGGTCACAGCAGTGGGGACAGTGTCAGGGGACAGTGAAGAGGAGAGTAGGCAGTTTCAGCTGGGTGCCCTGTGTGTGACGGGGAGTGTGTTTATTTCTGTGTGTGCATCTGGGTATACAAACTTATTCGAGTGAGTTTGTGTGTCTGGACGTGTAGAACAATGCCTTTGCATTTATGTGTGTACGTCTAGATACAGAGCTGTCCATTTCACATCGTGGCTGTGGATATATATGAATCTACGTTTGCTTGTTTTTCACGTTTTAAGGATGCACAGTTTGAAAGTGTGTGATTTTTCAGTCTTGGACATCATATCTTGGGTGTATTTTAAAAGGGGTCTTGATAGTGTTTTAACGAGGCTTTTTTTGGAAAGAATCTGGGCTGGTTTATTGTTTTTAGACATTCCTCTGTCCGGCGACCTTTTCTTTTTTAGCAGAGAGCGGGAGGGAAACAGGAGGGGAGGACATTCAGGGATAATCCGTGTTTGGGGAAGAGGCTGTAAAAGAGGAGAGGAAGAGGGGGATGGAGAGAGAAACAGGATCAGAGGCCAGAAAGAGGGAGATTATTCCCTTAAAAAGCTCCCTGTTAATATATACATACATGCTTATCGTCTTCCGCTCCTTGTGGACTTTTCATTTAGTGTCTTTCTGAGTTAATCCACCTGTCGGCCCCGCACCCCCATCTCCTCACCCCCTGCCTTCCGCCTCGTTCTCTCGCTCCGTCTCAGTGTAATGCACAGTGATGTGCTTTTTCCACTGCGGGCTCCAGGCAGCCGGGATGGTAAAGGAGCAGATCAGCTGTCTATTTTTAAAGACGGCCAGCCGCGGTAGTGCAGAGGCCCATGGATTAGCACATTAACACATACAGGCGGACACACAATTGGGCACTAATCGGCACCAGCGCTCTCTGGAGCTGCACAACGGCCGAGATAAGGGGAGCACCACGTTTTTTTGGTGGGTTCCTTTGATACGGAACCGATGCGAGATCCTTGTCATGTATTTTCCAGTGTAAGAAAGTAAGCAAAGGATATCTCACCGGGGTACAGAGTAAAGCGGGCGTGTAAGGACGTCGGAGGGACGTCACTGCCATACACACTTTTCTAAGCGGGTGACTTCGGACCTATGGAAGGCCGTTCTGCTGTTCCAGGAACATTATAACATGGAACGTGATAAGATCCACGCTGCTGTGACCCTGACACCTGTTCCGCGTCCGCTTGCATGGTGCGCTGGTACGTCACGGCCTGACTATGCCGAAAGAGCGATCTTTGCCCTCTGCCGTATTCTCTAGATCCGCAGACTGATTAAGCCATCATGCTACAGGAGTGCTTCTAATCGGGGCGCGTAGCGTGCCGATGTTGGCTTTCATCTTCCGTCTTTCCATAACCCTCTCCTCTTAACGCCCTCCCGGCCCCTATTCCCGTGGGAGCCCCCTACTCTGTGCCCCGCCCCCCTGCCTCTCTCCAGCCTGCCAGTGGGTGCTGTCAGCAGTGTGGTTTTCACGTTACCCCTCTCTGGTCCTGAAATAAGTAAAGCCTCAGAACCCGTTCTCCCTGTCCTGGGAGCTCTGCTTTCTCCTCAAACACCAAGGACCCTGGGAACAGAATCTTTCCCTTACGCAGTTGGCATCATACTCACACTCGACCACAAGCACACAGCCGGGGGCGGGGGGCTGGGGGGGGAGGATGCTTTGGCCTCTCATCTGTCCTCAACAAAAAAAAAAATTTATGAGGTCAAAATTCAGAATATATTCAGCACATTCATTTAATGGCGAGACTGTAGTTCAGAGATACAATATAAGCAAATGTGTGCCAAAAGTAAAAACAGAACATCGTTTGTACATTTCCCGACCTTATGGCTGATGCTGAGGCTGCAGCTGGTAAGTTCTATTTCACTGACAGAGCGAAAAGCAGGTGTGTGTGAGAGATGGGCTTAGATATCTGCAATTCAGGGATCATTTTCCGCTGCGTAATTCCAGTCTTGCAGGCTTTAAGATACTCATTAAATAACCATTAATCATTTCTGGATTTTTGTTTTCTTCATCGGAAAATACATTTAAAAGGTCTAAATAGAAATACCCGGAACAGGACGCTGTCAGATGTGTTACGTCTTCATTATAGACCAGGAATGTTCTGGAATGAAAACAGCCACAGTGTTAAGACCCAGGGTGTAGGGGCGCGGGGTGGAGGGGGTGGAGTGCATGTCAGTGTGTTAGTGTATGCTTTTAGAACATGGGGGGGGGGGGGGGGGGGGGATGTAGAGGACAGGCTATGCTGGCGAGCCCCTGGTCCAGGGCAGATTGTTTCCATCGGAAAGAATTTGGGGAATGAGCGTGAAGAGCTATCAGAGGCAGCGGGCTGGAGGCGCTGCAACGGCGAGCTCCAAACGCACAAGATGCGGAGCACGGCGGATGTCGCTCAGTCAAGGGGGCGCCGTCTGCTCTATCTCTACGAGGACATTATTGAGGAGTGAGACTGACGACCTCTGCGATAAAACTAAAACAGTCCCAGTTAGACGTGGCTCACTGCGGAGCCAAGAGTGTCCTGTTCTCCCCGTGTCTGTCATCACTATTCAAGCCTGTAATGAACCACAGTCCAGCAAACGCCTATTGCTCTGCAGAAAAGCACTGTAGCGGAGAATTACCATGGAGCTTGATGATGATGTCATTGTTACATTGGCATTCTAATACTCTTTCCAAATGATCCTTGTCTCAGGAACAGGTTTTAATCCATTTACAGACCAGAGACCTGTTCATGGGATTATTTGCATCCGGTGCATCTACTGAAGGGTACTACGGTGGGCCTCCTTAGTGCTTCATGTGCTTGACCACTGCACCCCCTCCTGAATGATGTCCCCATACAGACAGGATGGTCTGATCTGGAATGATTGACCCAAACCTACAGAAGAACACTCTCAGACTCTATTAACTCTGGCTTCAGCAGCTGGATTTGGGGCAGACTCACTAGCCACGCGTCTGCAGCTGCTCATAGTGACTCTTCATGAGATCAAGAGATAACTGAAAGTCTCCCAAGGGAGTCTTCCACCTGCAGGCCCTTCCCTAACATCCATCTGTGTAATAATAACTCCTTGCACGCAGTTTTTCCAGGAAGTTTGGGAATGTGATCCCATTGTCCCTCTTCCCGGAACGGCGTCCAGGATCTCACGAATGCCATGTCACAGCCGATCAGGGACCCTTGCTCCCTGACTTTGACTGACGCTTCTGCGGGGCATGTGGGCTTATCTAGGATGAACCCCACTAAGAGGGTATGGATGATGGAGGGGGGTGGGAGAGCAAGGTCAAGCCCCTGCGTGGGTCAGTGTGAGACTCATGTTGGCATTCTAATACCTGCAACACATCCCATCCACAAGCCCACAGGCTCATCGGCACGAAGATGCTCTGCACCCATTTAAATTAAAAAAAAATTTTTTTTCTAAACGTATCAATGCAGGGGGGCTGAAATGGATCCACCCTAACGACGCTACATGCCGTGAGACCTCCGGCTCATGCAGACTCCAAGGGGCCAGGACCGCAAACATCCCCAGAGAGCATCAACCATTTTGGGTTACTCGTTACAGCACGCAGGCACTGAGCTAGACGCCCCAAACGAGCGCTCAATCGAGGTCCTCGGGGCCCATGGGCCAGTGAGGAGGGAACCAAGCACAAACGTGCAGGTAGAAAATCGACCAGGTCAATCTTTATAAACTGTAGTCAAATCCATACCAATTATAGAAACCGCCCCCCCGCCCGGACGTCGATTAAAACTTTCGTTTATGACAAGATGAATAGCTTAAAAAAATTGTGCCATATAACAAGTGATGTGCATGGGGGGGGGGGGGCAGTTGTTTAAAAATTTTTTAAAAGAAAAACAGGTCAGACCTTAGTGAGGGGGGTTAAACAGGAAGTCAAACTTGTGCAACTATTTATACACATGGGGAGGAAGGCAGCTCTGGGCGGTGCGGCAGGAAGCGAATGCGTGCAGCTTTCAGTTTGCAAATCTGCGCGTTTTGAGGGATTGCAAGCACACGAGGGAGAAAAACAAAAGCCCGGCACTTTTCCGATGCACGAGGATGAGGAATCATCACTGTCTTCACGATCACGTGCTCCAGGTCCCACCAAAACAGACAGACACAGGCGACAGGAAACGCACTTTAAAAATGTTTATTTACAACCTCTGCACTCAGGACAGAGAATGAGGTCTAAGTACAAAAACAAAAAAGGAGAAAAAAAAACTTGCTGAATCTCCCTGAGCTTTACAGAATCAAAGAGAAAGATGAGACTACGTGTGGGAGCAGAGAGAGAAAGAGAGAGAGAGAGAGAGAGAGAGAGAGGAGTGGACAGTGAGGAGGACTGAGGTTTGTTTTGGAGAAATGCAGGAGCTGTATGCTCAAGAGACACAAATCATATTCAGTACGTGAAAGGAACCACAAATGCAAGGAGATGCACGAGCATCACATCTCATTACATTCCTTAATCTAACCCCCCCATCCTCCTGAAGCCATGGGACCCTCACAGACCATCTGTCCAATCATCTTCCATCAACCATCTCTCTTTTTTTGCAATGGGGAAAAAGGCGTTCGCACCAGCCCGCTCCTCTCAAATGTCTGGCTGCGCCATTAAAACTGGCCTGATCCTTTCAGATCTCTGGCTGCATTTAACTGGACCCTGGCTTGATTTCCTGCACCTGCCACCCCTTTCCAACCCAGTAAATCAAGTCGCGAGGAGGGATGCAAAAATAAAAAGCAGTAAAATTCCACCCCCTCGTGTTTATTTTAATGCGACTTGAACCCGGTGTCAGTGGAGACTGACCTCGCTGACTTCAGCTGAGGACACGGCTGAGGAGCACGGCGATGACGGTGACATTGCTGAAGAGCTGCATCGTATAGCTGCATGGCATCAGGAGGCAGACTGCCCAGCGACGGCGTAAGGGAGCGGCTCTGTGCCAACAGGCTGCCCTCGCCCTACGATGTCGTGGTTGACATTTGTTTGGCTTATTTTTTCTCTCTCTCTACCCATATCGCTCGTGGGAGAATTACACGTCAGGAAAACATGAACCCATCGGGAAACTATGCGTGGTATCGGGCACGTAAGGGCCAACGATGCACTGCTCAGTCACAGATGGACCAGCTGATGACAGGCCAGTCCAGAGGTCTGCCGCGGCGTGGTGATGGTACGATTCACCATGCAATGTCCTCTTAATACCCTTAACTGGTTAGGACCATCTCTCACACCACAGTCACAACCGTGCAAAAACAAGAATGCCCACCCCCATCCACGCCGAACACGAACAATAAACTTATGAACTGGCTCTGGAATCCATAAAACAATGACAGTAATTCGATTCAAACACATATGCAGTATGAAGATACGGGGAAAAAAAACAGAAAAGAAAAATAATACATTTCCCCATGTACGCCACCACAGCATTGAATGTCCGGCCCAGTCCGTTGCTCTGATGTCATGTGACAGTCATGTGACAGTCATGTGACTGCCGACAGTCCCTGCCTGTGTTGCAGGGCCGTTGCACTGGCGATCCGTGGTCATGAGACACAGTAGCCGTGGGATTATGGGGCAGAGCGTGTGCGTGTGTGGGCGGGCGCGTGCCTGCGTGCATGGGGGAGGGGGGGGGGGGTAATGATGAAGGCCCCTATGAGCCCCATGGACAGCACCCTAACGCAGAGCCTTAAAGCGATGCTGTGCTGTGTCTCTGGAGATGCTGGGCGAGTCGCCGTTCTCCAAAGTGTCAGTTTAGCTTTGTGCAGTAAGTCCCGCCCTCCAGTGCCTCCGGACGGTGATCATGACAAGTCTGTGCATGTGTGTAGCCGCCCCCACCCCCGCCGGCCCGCCGGCCCGCCGGGCGCCCCTAATGCTGCGAGTCCGGTCCCGGCTGTCCGCTCTGCTCCTCGAGGTCCTCTTCTTCCTCCTCCTCCTCTTCCTCCTCCACTTCGCTGACCAGGAACTCCTCCGGGGGCCAGCGCAGCTCCCCGCTCTCCACCTCGCCCTCTGTCGGCTCCACCACGATGGACGGCAGCCTGTCCTTCAGTTTGCAGCTGCGGTCGAAGTCTGACGGGTCCGGAAAGATCTGCAGGGGAAGGGGGGGCAGTCAGGCCACAGGTGAAATGGTGCCCCCCCCCAGATTACTGAGAGCACAGAGCATATTTCTGCTAGCGGCACTAACATTGATGTTATGCTGACTTAATGTCATGAGAGCAACTAGGGCTGTATTCGTACTGAAAGTACGGACATTAATAGGAGGTAAAAACTTCATAACTAACGGTAAGATATGAACAGTGAAAACAAGATGCTTAAGATGGTTTTTGGGGGGCTGTTGGGGGGGCCACAGCTCAGACAAAAGCCCCCGAGGGAAGCATCCTCTCATCAAAGCATGATTCCTGAAGTTTCCATCAGAACCACGGTTTGAACTGAAATACCGAAGATGGCTCCACCCCCAAAACCTCCAGGTCATGTGACCTCGGATGCACCTTTAGCCAGCGCCAAGGGAAAGGGGTGACGCTATGGACTGTTCCTTCTGCTGTTATCGGGAAAAGCTATTTTTAAGCATGCATATTTCGGAAGGGGGGGGGGGGGGGGGGGAACCACCCCGGGAACAGGGCTGAGTGGGAAGCGAGCATGAGGCCAGTGTCCCGCTGCGAGAGGGAGGGGGAAGAGCCCGCGTCCCTGAAGTGGGGTCAATGACCCCCCCACCCTGCCCTGTCAGGACTTCCTAGAGCAGGAACAGAACTCCAGAGGTACCAAGAAACATTCCAACAAGCCATAGATCATGACAGAGGCTTGGTTAAAAATTAGAGGAGGGGGGTCATGCTGAAACGGGGAGGCACACCATAGGAAGGTCTTGCAGGGTGGAGGAAGTGGCAGGCAACCACACAGCTGCACCGAGGCGGGGGG